CAAACATCTCCACCGGGTGAGGCATGAAACGCCACTTAAAACCCTCAAACAATTATATCTCAAAAGTCCCATTATCGCTTTTTTTATTTTTGTTTCCTCTGGCATGCACGTAAATTAAATCACCAGAACGTAAATGAACGGTCAGTGCAAAACAAAAAAAAAGACAGTTTTGCTGCGCACAGAGCAGGGCGTAGCTGGAACTTGACCACGTCCCTGCAAAAGGGGAAACTCAAACACAAGCGGCGAGGCACGCGCCTTGTTAATATTCACCGTTCATCCTGCACGTAATCCACCAATACATCCCCGCACCGCAAAGCAGACACACGCGCAAAAAGGCGTGAACGAATGGGGCCTTGAACCCTGGGACTCCTGCATGCAGAGCAGGCGCTGCACCACGGAACCATACGCCCCACGGCGCAGCGGCAAAACTGATGTCCGGCAGCCAGCGTCAATGTTCACTGTTTCCTTGGGGCCCGAAATGCGCTGACTTGGCACGGCCGTTTTCCTGGTCTACCTCAATTTCCACGGCAGATACAACACCAGAAAGAGTGCCGGTGAACCAATAACTGTGGTGGCAAATTACCCCACTACGCGGAGACCCACCTCAATAAACCTACTCACGGTGACAACGCTGCCCGTCCACGCATAAGCTGCATTCGACCTTCCATACACAAGACACAACGCCATGGAAGAACACGGCAGTCACCGACTACAAAAGGGGCATCCACCTGCACTGCAATGTATCGAGTGGTCCTGTTTGTGTCTGCCTGCAGGTAGTACGCAACTGAAAGGGGAAAAAACAAAAAGGCATGCGAGCACGCCCAGGCGCACGGCAGCCCTGCAGGACAGTACGAAGGAAGAAGACTGACGGAGCTCGTGATGGCGCCGCCGTCCAAGCAGCGGCACGCCACGAAAAAAAACATGATGAAATGAGTTAAATAATAATAAAGATGGAAAGAAAAGAAAAGAAAAAAAACGTCCTCCACTATGCACAAATGGCCCACAGATCTCCCAAGAAGAAAGAAACAAAACACATTCCGTTCTCCACCTACTTTTTTTCTCTCAAACAAAAAGAATTAAAGAAGCCGCTGCGTGTCGTGT